GAGACTCGCAAGAGGCACATCCTCCTGGTCTTGGCCTCCCCTTCCACTCTTGCTGTTTTGTTGTACGCTTTCCCATTAGTCTTCTGTTCAGGGTTGCGCTCCTGTCCGATTGTCCTTTGTTTTGACTCACGTGAGGAGAAAGGAGAGGCAACAGGGTTTCGGACTGCGTTTTATGGAATATAAACTCAGGGTGGCCTGGCATGAATTTGTGCTCGGCCATTTTCCTTCGTAAAAGCTGTTCTGTGGAGCTTCCTTCTCCCCAGGACGATAGGATGTGCGGGAAGACGTTTTTGCGGGGTTCCCTCCTTTTCAAAATGCTCTGCTTCTTGTGGAGTTATTTCTGTAAAACCAGAGTAAAGTAAACATGGAAAAAAATATAGCAAAGGTGGCCAAGCCATTCTGTCTGGCTGCTCTCCATCAACATCTACTTTCTGTTCTTTCTGCTTTTCTGGCCTACCCTTACTTTGTGCTCTGAAAAACGTCACTTCTTTTGTCACGTTTGTACTTTTTTTTTCTGGTTGCACTTGGTTTCATAGCGGGATAAGGTGTGCCTCTTGGCTGTCCCGGCTTTGTTTCTTGGGTTGCTACAAGCTGATAGAGTGCGTGTAGCGTTATGTCAGCTCGGAGATGCTGAGTGTAGAAGGATGAAGGGTGAGATGAGTTGTGGAAATCTACAGCTCGGTTCCTGGTGTGACTTGCGAAGGGAATTGTTTCTTGGAAATTATCGTTTGGCATTTAACGTTACAGGCGCCAGTCTTGTGTGGAACGTCATCTCTAGTATTTTGTATGGCAAAATCTGTACTGTGCACCCCACGGGTGGTGGGAAGGGACCATTGGAGATCTCTAGGCCGACCTCCTGCTAGAAACTGTCCTATTAGAGCAAGGTGCTTGGGGCTGTGTCCAGCCTGGTTCTGAATGTCTCTAAGGATGGCGATGCTGCCCTTACTTTGGGCCCTGTCCAGTGTTTGACTATGTTTATTGCAAATATTTGTTTCCTTGTGCCTGGTTGGATTTTCTCGTATTCCAGCTGGTGTCCCTTGTCCCTCATCCCTCGTCCTACCCCTGCGCATCTCTGAGAAGAGCCTGGCCCCGTCTGCATAACAGCTCCTGCTCAGTAGTTGTAGACCAGCAGTAACATCTCCCCTGAGCCTTCTCCTTCCCAGGCTAACCTAACCTGCCTCTCTCTGCCTTTCTTTGTATGTCCTGTGCTCCAGCACTGACCGCCTTCGTGTGGTCTCTGCTGGACTCCTTCCTGTATGTCGCTTGTGCTGGGGAGCCCAAGTTGGACCCAGCTCTCCAAGTGGTCTTACGAGTGCTTAGGAGAGGGGCAGGATCTGTCCCCTCACCCTGCCAGCTGCGCTCCTGCTAACACGGCAGTGCTGGCCGTCCTTGCTGCAAAGGTGCGTTGCTGGCTCCTGGGCAATTTGGTGTTTTACCGAGTGCCTTCCTGCAGAGATGCTTTGCTGACAGCCTGTACCGCTGCAGGGAGTTATCCCACCCCCGATGTGGGGCTTTTGCTCTACCCATAGGTGAACTTCCTGAGGTTCTGTCAGCCCAGTTTCCAGCTCGTTGGAAGTCCCTCTGAATAGCAGCCCTGCCCTCCAGCATGCGCTATGCTTTTCCCAAGTCCCCAAACTTTTAGAGAGTGTGCTCCAGTCCCTGTCCAGGTCATTAAAAAACTTCTAAGCGGGGCTGGCCCCAGTGTTGATCCTCGAGGGAGGCCAATAGTAACCGGCAGCCAGATGAAGGTTGTACTGCTGATCACAGTCCTTTGAGCCTGGCGTTCCAGACAGTTTCCCTCCCACCTTTATTGTCTGATTATACAGGCCGCATCTCAGCACTTTGGTTCGAAGGATGCCGTGGGAGACTTAGCATGGCCTTTGACATGAAGTCAAGGTGTGCAACACCCCCTACTCTCCCCTCAGTTACAGAGCCGGTCTTTTTGTCCCAGAAGGGGAGTCAGGTTAGTCAGGTGTGATTTGCCTTTGGCTTATCTGTTTTGGCTGGTCTCAATCACCTTCTTGTCCTTCATGTACTTGGAAATGGTGCCCAGGATTTGCTCTGTAACCTTTCTGGGCAGAGGGCAAGGCAGCTGGCTGATAGCCAAGGTTACAATGCTCTCTTATTGTACATATGGATGAAGTCTTGATTTGATATATTACCAAGATCAACATATGGATGGATGCAGCTGTTTCTGTGTGAGTGCTCTGTTCAGCCTGAGCCGGAGGAGTTTGTATTATTGAATTGTTTCTGACCTCTGGTGCTGGTATCTCCCATTAATGGTTTTGTGCACTGAAGTTGAGTGTGAACTCTGGGGCAGGATTAAGTCCTGAATGGGATTTGTGCATAGTCATTTCATAAACTTCCCACTGGAAGACAAACATTCAGCAGATAATCTGTTATTACTCTTGTGGCTACTGAATTGTATTGCATGAACTCCAGACCTAACAGCTACTAAAAGCAGCTTGTTCACTATAGATCAATAGCGCTCCTCGAAGTATATGTTGACTTAGAAAGGACGGTGATCACTTTTGGCCTAAATTTTTGTTTTCAGAAACCAATAGGTGGATTGCACTTCTCTGATAAAGACTGACTGTAAACGCATAGTTGACAGCTCTTCCAGGGGACATGAACTGTCTTGCTCTCTTTTAACGTTGCCGTACGGTAGTTCCTGTATAGAGGAGCTGAGGAGCCTGCGCTGTGGGGACCGAAGGTGACGTGCAAGTCTTCTCCTCGGTGTTGTGTAGCAGAGTAAGCGTGCTGGGGGATTAGGAGCTGCCACTTGAATGGTTGTAAGACTCTCTGGGTAAGTTGACTGGTGGTGTCCAGTTGCTTAGAGAAAGCAGCTGGTTCTCCTGGTTCCTGCCAAGTTCCTCCTGGTACATTTCTGATGGAGGTGGGGGTTGGTTGCCAATACAAATGGTACACTCATAAGCTAGCACC